GGAGGGACCGCTGGCCGCGACTGCGCCTGGGCAGCATGGGCGGAGGAGAGGGAGACCTCGCTGCGGCCCGCTGCCCGCTCAACACCCCAAGGTCGCCTTGGCGGTTCCGTAGCCGGCTGAGGGCCCGAGTCTGCAGTGTGCTGAGGCCAGCACGCACCCTCTCCCCGCCCCCCACGGGCATGCTGGGGGACAGCTGCGGCGGGCCACCAGCTGGGTCACGTGCCGGCGCAGTGGGGCGCCGGCCGTGGCGTGTCCGCTCGAGGGGGACAGCTGCGGCGGGCTCCGGAGAGCGTGTCGTCCGTGGCGCGGTGAGCTCCGCAGGGCTCTCTCTGGCGTGGTAGCTTAAGCCGGCCACTTGGCCTCCGGTGGGCAGGGCGCACGTCTGGACTGAGGCCGCGTGGGTGGCTGCCCCGATGCTGCCACGCTCTTTCCGTCTGGAAACTTCTCCGTGGACCCAGTGCGGCCGGGAACCAGCTCCGTCTGGCGGAGCCCTCGCCCCTCCCGCCCCGGCGTCTTCCCAGCGTGCGCCGGTGCGGGAGGGCTGGGAGTGCGGCCGCGGGCGCCAGCTCCCTCAGCTCTGCCTCCTCCCGCCCAGCCTCCTCTGCTCTGGCGAACGTGGACCTGGCCCTGGAGCAGGAGGCCGTGCTGGCCCTGGTCGAGGCCCTGCAGTCGCCAGCGCTGGGCCTGCGGGGGCTGCAGCCGCAGAATGGGGACTGGTACCTCAAGCAGCTCCTGAGTGACCGGCAGCGCAAGAGACAGGTGAGGCGCAGGGAGCCCGGCAGGACTCTTACTCCCCGTGTTCACTGGCTGGTGAAGCTAGGCCCAGGCCAGGTGCGGTCTCCGGCTCTCGCGCTCAGGTCACCCGCCCTCTCGTGAGGCCGGTGGCCGCGCTCTGCCCGACGCGCCCCCTTCCCACCCGGACCGTGCACCAGTGGGCGTGGGAGCTGGGGCTGTCGATGTTCGGCCGCCCGGCAGAGGCCCTGCACGGCGGGGACCGGGCCGGCACGCCGGGGCTCGCTTTATCGCGACACGCGGGCTCCCTTTTTGCCTGAATGGGGCACACAGCTCGCGAACGCCCTGCCAGCCTGAGTGGCGTGCCAGCTAACGTTGTGAGCCCCGCTCACCTCGTGGCATTCTGAAGCTTTCCCCGAAATGCCTTCGGGCCGTCTCGCGGCTCCGCCCCGGGCGGCCTGTGTCTGCCCCGCCCCGCCCGCCTGCGCCCTCCCTGTGCTGGCCTTGGGCAGGCGCGGGCCGAGGCGGGCACCGGTCTGTGTCTCCTCAGGGCGGCCAGCCCGACCCCCTGCAGAGGGAGGAGCTGCAGTCCGGCGTGGAGGCCGCCAACAGCACCGCGCAGCAGCACCAGAGAAGTACGGGCCGGGCCGGGATCGGGTCGGGTCGGGGTCGGGTCGGGGCCGGGCCGGGTCGGGTCAGGGTCAGGTGAGGGCCGGGGCCGGGACGGGGCCCGGGTGGGGTCGGGGTCGGGGCCCCCTGCCTTGCCGCCAGGGCCTGTCGCACGAGCACGGCCGGTGCCCTGGTGGCCGCGGTTCCCCCACTTAGGGCTTTGGTTAGGGGGTGCCTTGGGGAGGCCCGGCTTGGCTGGCAGGGCCTAGGCGGTGGAAGAGGAGAGAGAAGGGCGCTTGCTTCTAAGGCGGTGCCAGAGGGGAAGGGCCGTGAGCTGAGGAGCGGGGCCGGCGCCTCTGAGCAGCCGGTGGGTGGTCGGAGTGTTGGTCCTGTGCGAGGCCGGGGCTGGGGGGCGACCTAGGGCGCTGGCGCGTGGCCCGCAGGGACAGGTGAGGAGCAACGTCTGCGCAGAGCAGTGGTGCCTCTGGCCGGCCGGGGGTGGGCACAGGAGGGTGCGACACCCTGGCGGCGCAAGGTCACGCGCCGCCCGTCCCTGTGCCGGGCCGCTGCTCTGGGCGAGGGTGTCCAGCGTCGCGGTGACCCGCGGCCCACACAGGAGGTCCTGTCTCCGTGGGCGCCGCCTCAGCCCCCACAGGCTCCAGGCCTGCCCACCTGCCCTCCCGTCCCCAGGGCTGGCGGCTGTGGCCGCGATTAACGCCGCCATCCAGGAGGGCGTCGCTGAGAAGACGGTCATGGAGCTGATGAACCCCGAGGCCCAGCTGCCCGAGGTGCACGGGTTCGCGGCTGGCCTCTACCAGAAGGAGCTGGCCACCCTGCAGCTGCAGAGCCCTGAGGTGAGTCCAGGGCCTGCCCCACGCGTGCGCTCGCCTGTGCCCGCTGCTGGCAGGTGCGGGGCTAGGTTCCATGTTTCTGCGAGAAACGGGCGTACGTGTGGCTCGATGACACGGCTCACGTCGTGGCGTCGGCCGTCCCCCCGCCTTCCCGCAGCGCAGCCTCACCCACCCCGAGCTCGTTGTCGCCGTGGAGATGCTGTCGTCGGTGGCCCTCATCAACAGGGCGCTGGAGTCCGGGGACGCGAGCACAGTGTGGAAGCAGCTGAGCAGCTCCGCGACGGGCCTGACCAGCATCGAGGAGGAGAACTGCCAGAGGTGGGTGCGGGCGCCGGCGCCGGCCCGTCCCCACCCGCGCCCCGACGGGCTGTCAGGCAGGGCCGCGGCTCCGCTCCAGCTGGGGCAGCCGGGTCGCGTGGCCAGACGGCCCCGCCGCGACAGCCGGCAGGGCTCTGGCAGCCCAGACGGTCCTCCTCGCTTCACCCCGTCCCGGCCCGGGCCTGTGTCACTCCGGCTGCCGTGTCCCTGCGCTGTCTTTCGGTCCAGGGCTGCGCTGCCCTGGTGACACTGTGGACACGAGGCCAGTTACCCTTGGCCATCCCTCCTCCTGCTCCTGGCTGCTTCCCGTGAACGGGCACTCAGGCCTACAGGCTTGACTGGCGTCAGCGCCGCTCGCTCGAGTCCAGAGGCCGTGGGACCCCGAACCCGCTAGGAGACCTCGCTCGGCCGCCCCGCGGCCGGGGAGGCGGACACGCCCCTCCCGTGTGTTTCCCCTGACATCGAACGCGGCCCTCTGCACCGCTAACACGTCCGTGCACACGGACGTCCACGTCCACGCGACCGCTCGCCCGCCAGTGACCCTCGCCGGCCCTTCAGGAAGAGCTGCCGAGTGACCGCCGGAGGCGCGTCTTCCTCCCGCGCCTGTCAGTGCAGACTGGCCTGGCTTCTGGCTGTAGAGCTGTCGTCGGAGCTGCAGCTTCTGGCCTGGGATTAGCCCACGAGCAGACTGCTCCCCACAGTGGCGCCCTCGCGTTTGCGCCCTTCGTGGTCGTTCCTCGCCGGAGCCCACGTCAGACGGAGCCCGGGTGCAGGGTTCCTCAGGCCGGTGGCGCCGGCCTCGCCTCGCCCGCGGAGCCTGAGCGGCCGCTGTCTCGTGGGGGGCAGGTATCTCGACGAGCTGACGAGACTGAAAGCCCAGGCGGTGGCGGAGAGCCAGGAGTTTCTCACGTGGAACGACATCCAGGCCTGCGTGGACCACGTGAACCTGGTGGTGCAGGAGGAGCACGAGCGTGAGTAACGGGCCTCCTCGCGGGCGCCAGGCTGTGGCCAGAGGGCCGGTGGGGGTGAGGAGCTGGACGGTAGAGCGCCTGTGTGCGCCCCGCACGCGCCCGCGCCCTCCCTCGCGCTGCACGCACACGGTTGCTTTCGAACCCCGGCTGCACTGTAGCGGCCGCCTTCGGAAGACACGTGCCAGGAGGTGCGCGCACATGACTGTATAGGGGTCCTGGCACTGGCTGCCAGGAGTCGGGTCGCCTCGGCAGGTGGGGGCCGCACCCCCGTCAGACCTCTTCAGCAGCAGCTGCGCGCCGGGGTCCCGGTCTGACACAAGCTGTGCAACTTCTGTCGTCAGACACGGTCCGGACGCAGGGGAAATGCCCTGGAAAACCAGAATTTCCACGCTAGCTCGTGTGATGACCTCCCGTTTCTGTATGGTCAGCATATTCCCGGCAGCCATCAGTTCCCCACTGGACGGCCTCAGCCTCACAAGGTGCCGTCCGGCCCAGGCGAGCAGGCGCGGCCCCAGGACGGGAAACTCCTCTCGGAATCAGAAACATTACAACTGGCCGATTCATGAAAACAGTTACAGCAAAATTAACATTGTGAGACAAGGCAGTGCTAGAATAATCGGGATTCTTGTACTGCCTTGCCTTACAACGGGAATGCAGCTGGCTGTAGCCGCGCGGCCCTGCTCCCCGGCCGTCTCCCGGAGCCCGGGAACGCGCTCCAGATTGACTGCATTATGGGGAACGCCCGTCCGGACAAACCCCGACGAGGGCGCTGGGGGGCGTCTGTGTCTGGGCCTCCGCCTTTAACTGGCCTCGGCCTCACCACAGGCTGAGCAGTCGTGGCCTCGTGCTCGGACTCGGCTCAGGCGGCTTCCCCCGCGGGCAGCAGGGAGGCTGGGCTGCTGGCGGGACCAGAGCCGGTCTTCGGCCCCACGGATGGCCCCACGGATGGCCTTCCTGGCGCGGCCGGTCCCCTCCCCCGTCCGCAGCGTTCGGGGCCCACCCCACAGACGGGACTGGCAGTCTGGGCTCACCCTTCCCGGCCCGTGGGGGCGGGGCCTGCCGGCCTCCCCTGGGTGGGCCGCCGTCTGAACCCCCGGGGGCGGCCCTTCTGCTCTGCTTTGCGTTTTCTGGGAGGCGCCTCGCCCTGGAGTGGGCTGGGCGGTGCTGCCGCCCTCGCCCCCTCGCCCCACGCTGCCGTGCGGCGGCACTGAGGCGCTGTAGGTCGGGCAGATTTGTCACTCACACGGGCGTGCCCCTGCGCCGGTCAGCGTGCCCGCCCCCCCACCTTTCCGAGTCAGAGGCCCCAGGAGCTAGAGCAGCTAAAAATAAACAGAAGTGGAGGCTGCTCCCGTAGGACCGTAGGGCCGTGGGTGTGAGGAGCCTAAGGGAAATCAGCGCTAAAGTCAGGGACACACTGTGGGCAGCAGGTCACCACGTGACGCCTGGTGACTCGGGCATTTGCCCCGCCGAGTGTGTTCATGCCTGGCTGTGTGACCTTAGTTAAAAGGGCTCCCCTGCCCCTCGGACCACAGGGATTCTGGCCATTGGCCTGATCAACGAGGCCCTGGACGAAGGGGACGCCCAGAGGACCCTGCAGGCCCTGCAGACCCCCGCCGCCAAGCTCGAGGGCGTCCTCCCGCACGTGGCCCAGCACTACCAGGACACGCTGATCCGGGCCAAGAGGGAGAAGGCCCAGGTGAGGGGGCGACCGCGCGGGCGCGGGGTGGCGGGGCAGCCCAGGAGCAGCGCCTGGGGGACAGACGTGCGCGGCTGGCCCCGGGGCTGCTGCCCTCCGTGTGGGCTTGCTGCTCCTCGCA